TGCCTCCCCCATTCAAAAACGGCCTCACTTCCCACGCTTCAACCCCGTTTTGAACAACAACCCGGAACGGTCCCCGGCGCCTGGCGCTTGGCGCCTAGGGCGCGAAGGGCGCGAAGGGCCCGGAGCTCGTGCGAGATCGTGGGTTACAGGAGCGAATCAACAAGCCTTTCAGCTGACTGGAGCGAGCTGTGAGGGGGTGGAGTCATGCTGTGTCTGGACGGATCGGGTGAAACCGAACTATGCCGGGGACCAGACAGAACGCCGGGTGAAACCGATGAAGAAAAGGGGGGCTAGCAATGAGTTGGTCTCCTCACGACCTATAAGGAGGGATGTGGTTTTCTTGAAAATCATCCATGGATTGGTTTTCAGCCTAGTTTTTGAGCCTTTTGGAACTCGAGGTGACGACTAAATCTGCACTTGTTTTCAAGAACGCCGAGATCTTGAAACATCACTTGGGACTTTGCCAAGAATTCTGGAGGGGGCATACAACCTCGTTTGGCATCACCCATCATCCGTGGCAACATCGACGATACATGCTTATATTTATTACCCGCAAAAGCAGTCTGATCACCATGGTTGAATGGATCATTTGTATTCATTTGTGCGAACTCGTCTGGATCCAGACTGGATCACTGGATCCTCACCATCAATACCATTCAATTTGAGATAGAGCTTCTAACTTAGCCTCTTGCATCGACCAAATGTGCTCGAAGCCGGGAGAGGGGCTGACCGTGCTTTCGTTTTTGGCGGGTCAGTCGGTCAAAAACTTTGTCTCTGGAGCAATGTTTTCTGTGATTGGCTAGGTGTGAAAGGTACCTGGACCATCCTGTTTGGGTGTCCAACGGACCTCTCTAAGTAGTGTAGGGTAGTCCAGCGAGGTGACCATCCTCAGGATGGTCCTGGTATGTCACCGGTGGGCCATGGGGGTTTCCACGGCCCGAGGTACACGAGGCCTGGGGCTTCGTGGGAGGAGTTGAAGCCCCAAAGTGACAAGAAGCTCAGGGGCCAGGCATGGCTCCGCGTCAGCCGCGTTGGGAAGAGCTGAACATGGAACGGGTTTGGTGAGCTGTGCGGCATACGGCCGTTGGGCATAGGGCTGGACGGGAATGGTAATATAAAAACGGACTCAGGACATTTCTGGGTCATAAGTAGTAATTAGTAAAGTGCCTGGCATGTCAGGTATGACTCGGGTGGGGTAGGATGGACAGGACTGTTCATGGACTGTAGTGCCGGGAAGTGAGTTTGTGGAAGTTAGTGACAGTTGTAGGGTTTTCTCATCTGGACATCCCCGGTGTTTGTGGACGTGTGCTGGTCTTGGAGCGTTACTTTGCCACACTCCAATATTTCACCGACTGGCTGACTGGCCACGCAGCAAGATTCTCAGCTGGCAGCTGAGCTGTTTCTCAGAGTTTTTCCATGAGAAACAACTGAGCTGTTTCTCAGATCTCACAGTTTTTTCTCTTCAACTTGAGCTGTTTCTTCTGTATTACGCCTGGAACACCAGTCCGGGCGGGCTTGGTCACCACGACCGAGTCTCGAAGACCGCCTCAGTTGAAACAACTGCAGCGCGCAGACCGGGACGCGGCGTTCCTCTTGGCCAAGGCGGAGGTCGGGTGGAAGGGGGGGATCAATGTGATCATGGTGCGGCTGTGGAAAGGGAGAGGGATGGACTTGGGTGCAATCATGCATGAGTTGGTGCAGCATTTTTCAGCCTCCCATGCTGTTCAGAGATGTAAACTGTAGTGCACAGCCAGGTTGATTTGCACAGGCCTTTGAAGAGATGTGAGTTTGCCTCAAACCAAGAGAAATTGGCTTGACTAGCTGTGTCCTTCGGCTGTTGTTTCCATGGCGCACAGGTGCTTCAAACAGCCGAGCCTGGTTTTATTGAGCAGGAGGAGGATAATGCCATACTGCCACGTGGCACCTGAGGATCTGGAGCTCTTGGGCATTTTCTCTCGTTTGGCTAAGGGTCATGACCCATACTCTTTGTTGCACACCTCGAAAGTGCATGAGAATGGTCGTTCCATACTTCTTGTTGGGAGGTGTCCGCGCTTCTTTTCAGGGTCTTTTTTGGCGTCTTGACCGGACGAGCCTGTTCTTTTTGTCAGCTTGTTTCGGATCTCCTAAGAGGCACCTGGAGGAATGACAAGATCACGGATCTGAGGAAACTCTCATGTCTCACCACCGACAACTTCCATGGATGATTCCGGAAGATGGAAGTTGGAGCGCAACAAAAACGAAGGTTCGGCTCTTTTTCAACTTGAAGACAGGTTTTAGGTCATGTCTGGGTGAACATCTCCTGCCTCTCTCTGGTGATCCTTGCTACAAAAACCCAGGCTCTGCCACTGAGCCTGGTTTCACACCACGCGCTTCTCATCTCCGTGGCCGCGGAAGTGGTTCGGGACGACCGGGTGTGGCGAAAACAGAGCGATCGTACGTATAGTTTCTTTTGAATTCTGGTTTATAGTAGCGAACCTTGTTCCTAGTAGTACGGCCAGGAGCCCCTAGTAGTTAGCGTCCGATCGCTCCGTTCGTAGCGATGCCCTTTGCTCCTAGTAGCTTCTTGCTCGGCCGGGTTCTTCCTTGGTTGCACCAAGCTGAAGCTGCTCGATGGGCCCAGGCTCACGCAGCAGGAGATCATTGACTCCGTGCTTCGGCAGGGGTGATGCTTGAATGGGGGATCAGGAAGCTGCAAAACGTGGGATTCTGGTGGAGAACCACCGTCCAAATCGGTAAAACAAGCCGTGGGTGTGTGTTTCACCAGGGGGGGGTTGTTCCACTTCGGTGTTCGGAGGGCGTGACGGCCCCATTTTTCTCTCAAAAGGCATTCCTTGAAGAATCTGGAGAAGGGACATCAGAGCCCCACCTATCACCACCTCTCCGCCAATTTGTATCGGATCATATCAGATCCATTTTGGGTGTGAAATTAGAAGGAAGCCTGGAGGGCTGCAGCTTCCCTCAGCGGCCTCGATGGTCTCAACATGGTCTCGGTCTCAACAGATTTGTTTCGACCCGATGTCCCAAGCTGTCCCGATGTCCCTCCCAGGCTGGTGTGGGAGTTGCTCGGAAGCATTTCGACTTCGAGTTGCCTTATGGCCCCTACAATTGAGCACCTGGCATGTTTGCTTTTGGACACACTGCAAAGTGACTAGCTGGTAGCTCCTGCGTGTCGAAACTGCATGTGCACATGCGCAAGGGTTTCCTGACTTGAGACGAAAAGGAATCCAAAATAAGTCCCAAAATAGTAGCGATGCCCTTGTTCATAGTATCTTCTTGCTCCTAGTAGCGATGCCCTTGTTCCTAGTAGCTTCTTGTTGCTAGTAGTTGGCTTCATTGCTCTCAGCAGCCCTACGTCTAGTTTCACTCCAGGCAGCCCCGCACGGAATGGGCAACACTTGTTGGCCGGTGGGCGCAAGGGACACGTGGTGGGGGCCCTCAGGAGGAATCTGGTAGGGATCTGGAGCCCACGGGGCACGCTGAAAAGGCAGTTTCTTGTTTGATTTCTTTTTTGTGTGCTACTAGCAGCGGCGTCTGTCACGGATGTAGGTTTTCTTTTGGGGCGCTCCTGGCACTTCATGCACTTGCCCCGCTGCCACACGAAGACCCACTCAGAGCCGCCTCCATGGCCCAAGAGCAACCGCTCCTTGGGGCTCAGGGCCCATCCGGCTTGTTGATCACCCATCCTGCACCTGCACTCGAATCGGGGATCTTCCTCAGGCCTTCCTCCATTTGGCCCGGGCACCTGGGAAAGACGCGGCCGCCCGAATTGGTTTCAGGCCTCCGAAGAGATCGAAGACATAGACCAGTGGCATCCAATGGCCGTGTCTCCACTTGCTGAGTCAGTTCATGGTAGAGGTTTTGAGGAAGAGGGGAGGAAGACACTCCGACAGACCTGAGGACTCCACACTGAAATTCGCTCGAGTGGACAAAACATGTGCTGATCTTGAAAGGATGCTTTGTTGTTGTCGATGGTGGATGGATGATGAATAACCTCCTCCCCGATTTGGATTGTAACACCCTCTTCATATCGGGAGTTTCAGGTAGATCAACAGTCTACACTATATTAACCATGTGCTGCTAGCGCACACGCCAGAGACCAGATACGTGTTCCTTCGCCAGCTGCTCTACATACCTTTACATGACATAATATCCATGGCCAATTGAACCCAAGAAATCATTGCTCGGGCACATCATGTCCGTGGTACATGGAGTGGTCATTTTGCCCCCTTGAAGACTACAAACTGCCCTCCCCGAGAAAGTGCCAGCGGCCAGCGGCCAGTGACCATTCTGAACACCGCCTGAACGTTTTTGGCAATCAGAAAAGCCTTTCAGCAGCCAGGAAGGCCATGGCCGTTCTTACTCATCGCGAGGCTTTGTGAACTGGTCGTTCTCCAAGTGTTGCATTTGGCATGGAAGATGAGTTTGGACCAGGCCTGTGAGGCAAAAAGCAATCAAAAGACAAACAATATATAGTGGCTTGAAACATTTTCCCCGGCAACGGCGGAATAGCGGAACCCACCCCCTTCACAGCTCACCTGCAAGCCACTTCACCTCACGCCTTTGTGGCCTGTGCCATGGGCAAAGTGTGGTGAAGACGGGCGCGCGGTGCTGGCCCCTTTTTTGGTGCGCCTTGCTGGGAAGGGAGGGAGGATGGCGATAAAATAATGCTGGGATGCTTGCGTGGATAGCATTGGTCATTATTGGCTCATTGACTCATTGCTGTATGATGGTGCATATATAAATATATATATATTATGTATATCATTCTTCGTTGGCTTCTAGTGGGTTCATAGTGGGTGACCCTTTATGCCATCGTGATGACGCTGGCCACCGAAGTTGCCCATGTACTATCCACGTTCCTCTGTAGAACGATGCGGGTAGGTTGGAGGCCATCGCTAGTAGGTTGGACTCCATGGGCCTTTCCTCCAGACCCGGAGCTCGCCACGACTGTCGCCCAGGTCGCCGCCGTCCGGTGCGCGACGTGAGCTGGGCGGCAAGCCATGTCCACGGGAAATCCCTATGGACTCTCCGAGATCTCCCACTATGGCACCACGGCCGTGAACGAAGACGTCGTACGCGTCTTCTTGAGACGCCGAGGGGGGCGACTCCGTGAGGATGAGAACCGGGTGGTTTTTGGGGGAGTCGGCCACCGGTCTGGGCCACAAAGTGGGGCCACCATGTACCGAAATTGGTGTGGTGGCCGTACGAGACAAAAGGGGGTCGCCATCGTTCGTCGCCTGTGAAGAGACCGAGAATTGCTGAACTCAGAATAGCTGCACATAGCTCATACGCTTCCGACAGGCTGCCACGTGTTCAACAGAATATTTTTCTGGACTATGAAGATCTATTCGGAATGGTTTCTCAGGTCCCGCCAGACCGTCTCTTTTGTGGGCTGAACATTGATTGGAACATGTGCGACTCTCTTGTTTTGTGGACCTGCTGTGTACGACCCGGGTTTTTCGGGGAACCGCCTCGATGCGATGCGAGGCTCCATGCGGAATGTGGGTGGAAAGGCTGGAGGCTTCATCAACAAGAAGTTCTTCCATCCCTCCTCCCTTCGCAATCAGGAGAGGGTGATGGCATCGCAGAACATCTTTTGATGGATATTCTATGGACATAATGCTATACACAGGTATAAGGTAGTGATTTTCGGTGACCTCGAACGTCAGAGTCCGATGGTCCGATGGCCCGACTCAAACATGGTCGTCCGACGTGGACCACCCAAGAAAGGGTTTCCACCGTCCAATTCACTTCGCTGACTTCGCGGGAGTGCCCAAATCTAGGCTGAAAGGACTTCTGCGGAGAAACGGTACCACCACACGAATTCTGGGGGATTGGTACCACGCAGCTCTTGGTCCACGCGAACTCACCGACTTCGCCATGTCACAGGGGTGGATTGTGGAAGAAGAAGGTGCCGACGCTAGAAATGTTCACCCGTTTTCTTGGTGGAATCATGTGGAATTGCGACGAGAACATGGTTCCCACATCCCGCACTCAGAGAATATGATTGCCCCCTTTTGAACTTACTGTAGCACACATTCTAACCTGACATGTGTTGGAGGTGTATTTGGGAAATTCAGTTTAGGTCCTTGCAAAGAAGTGGACACATGTTTTCTATTCGCGTTTATCAACGTGGTCTTTCCCAGACATGTCATAGACTCACACCGGAAGAAAATAAGATAAAATAAGCTTATCTTGTAGAGAGTCGTCTTCAAGGGCTTCATGGTCCATGTCTTTATCAGTTTCGGACCTCGTTTCGGACCTTCAGAGGGGTTTCTTAGACGTTTTGAAAGGGCGAGCATGCTTAGGACATAGCTCTGAAAGCAGCGAAAGCTAATGTAACTGTTGATTAAGAAGAGGTTTCAAAATCAAAATAAAGGGGGTTATTAATCAACAGTCTACATCAATTAAGTGTGGCAGATGTCCCTTCGTCCCTTCAAAGTATGTTGATTTCTGGCAAAAGCCGGAAGAGAAAGAAGAACGGCGGAGCGAGATTTGAACGGCGGTTCAAGCAATTTCAAGCACCTGCCCATGGCCGTTTCTCATGGTTATTTCATTGGATGCAAAGAGGTGTACAACACAAGTTCCTCGCATGTTCCGGTTCCGCCCATTTTTACAAACACGGAGCCAACCAATTCACTCGATTTCATACGTTTTTGACGTGTGGCACTGAGCAAAAGGAGAAGCTTTGGAAAGCCATCACTGCAGACGCTGTTGAGAAGCGAAAGCAGGATGACCTCGAGAAGGCGGATGAAAACGATATGTTGGTACCCCAAGACTGCCAAGACTAGCGAATCCTCTATCCAACAATCATCAGAGTGGCCGCTGGATGCGCTTTTCAAGACGACTTTAGCCCTTTTTTTCAAGAGGGAGTGGACAAACTTCAAGATTGGTTGCATGGAGGGTTAGATATGGGTATAGTATAGTGGATCCATTTTGAATTTACGAATGGATCATGGGGTCCTCCACTGATTTCGACCTGCAGCTTGTCAACAATGGCACTCACCGGGTCAAAAAAGTCTTTCCAAAGGCCTGCAACTGGGAACATGGTCCGGGTCCACAGGATGTTTGACTCATGGCAGATGAGGCTCTTCCAGCAGATGAGGTCTCGTGTTGGCAACATGTCAGGGTCAGCGCAGGAAGACCTGCATCTCCCCCGTCAGATTTCATTTTGCGCCATGGAGAAGATCCCCTCCCAGCATTTCCTTTGCTGAGCCAGGATACAGGTGTTCATGTCAGGTGCAAAGACCACAACTGACATGTTGGATATGTTCCCAAAGACCTTCAGATCTCAGAACAGATCTAGAAGATCCTTGTGCATTGAACATTTGGCTCATACACCAGAGACCCTTTTCGTGCTATTTGGCATTTGGACCCACACACGCGCGCAAACAGAACCAACCACACGCAAAGCCAACCACCTCTGCTACCTGCTTTTCAGCCCTCAAATGGGCCTTTCAGAGGCGCGTGAAGAGGAGAGGAAAGTGGATGCTTTGAGGAAGGAGATCACTGGACGAGACGAAATTGAGAGGAAGAAAGATGAACAAAACAGGAAGTATGGATATCACATGAGACATGTGTTTCATAAACGAAGAACCATTTGTTCAAGTGTTGTTGGAACTGACACAAACATTAAAGAAAACATATGTTTCATTTGTATTTACTTGTTTCATCGATTGGAAGAGGTCCCGAACTACGAAAAGACCTCTGAGATTTAGACTCGAGCTACGCTTGGCGCGTGTCTTTTTGCTTGGGGCGACGGTCTGCAGGGGTCCGAAGTGGGGTATTGGCAGTCAAGCAGCGCAGACCTAGATGGCCAGCACCTTTTTTATTCTCAAGGAAGATCAAATGGTATTACTTTTCCTGAAGTTGATTGGATGAGAACGGGAATTCCCAGCCGCAGAACTCTCGCAACTGCCTTTGGACATGTCTTTTTTCGCCAAGCGACTTCCCGTAGTGGGACACAGTCGGACACAGAGAGAGACAACTCGACACCTTCAGCTGGAACCCTTTCCTCCTCGCAGGAGATGTACTTGGCCGGGCAATCCAAAAGTGCCATGTGCTGTGTCGGCAGAAGTCGTTTTGAAGTTGGAGGAGGTTGGAAGTCGGGGAGGTGAGCCATGGAGAAACATACATTGATCATGTAAGATCAAGTATATAACCGTATAGCCTATTCCAGTCCTGGATGAGCTGAGGTAGACAGTGGATGAATAAAAGGCCTCCGGCATTTGGATGGTGACACCTCGTGCTTCATGGAGATTCTTTTCAAACTACGACCCTTCAGACCCTTCGGACCGTGGGTGGATGGTTTGTAGATCCGGTCCCTCCACACCGGCTCATCAGTATGGGCAGGACGGGCAGGGACACGAAAAACACACATGTATGAATCCACCTTTCAACAGAAAAACCAACCCAAGCGAGCCTCGTTTTAAGATGTTCAGGGAGTTCACCCAGCGTTTTTTCCAGAGAACCCGCGTTTGACTCAGTGTTTTCCCCCTTGGGCTCCGCGCCAGTTTTCATCATGGCCCTTTTGGGGCTCCGGTTTCGCCGCTTCGGAGCCCAAAACAGCCTCAGGTTCACAGCTGCGAGTGAAACAGCTCAAAGGGTGGCCCCGGAGTTGTGGATGTTGGGGGGGGACGAAGAATCTGGGAGTCCGTGGGGTTGGGCAAGGAGATTATAGGTCATGAATTAGGGGTTCAATATGATTCGAATTCATGAGTCATTGGGGAATGATCGGAGTTGAATGATTTCTGCTTTGGTCACTGAACTGCTGGTTTTAGGATACTGGCTGCCTGGCTCATGTAATCATGTAAGTGAGAGTCAAAGGTGTGGGAGGGACTCTCAGGGGGGCAAGGAGTGGCTCAAACGAATCAGATCCCAACAGAGGGCTTTGGAAACCCCGCGTTGGAAACCGAACAGAGTGAGAAACGAGAAACGGTGTGGTTTTTGGGCGTGCAGGTTGCAGGTTCTCCCGAACTATGTCCCCAGAAAAGGAATACGCACACTGCCTGATCCATGTAATTAGGTAGCTTTCTGGGTCCTGAAAATGAGGGAATCCTCCAAATGGCTACATTTGTTTTCTTTGTTTACTACAATGGATGGGACATCCACTGTTTCCTACAATTTGGATGACTTTCCTTTTTTTCGGATGACTAAGAGCCTTCCGTGCTGGCCTCCAAAAGAAAAGACACGGCTTGAAAGATGCAAGATCACGGACTGTGATGGCAATTTTCTGGTCCTAGAGGGTTTACCGAAATACCGAAAGGCCTCCGAGCGGATGTTATGTCCCCCATGTTTACTGCACGGATGATCATGCTCATATTTCCATACTATATAGACAATATCCAAAGGAATCTGTTCCTTTTCAGGGCGTCAACCAGTGTGCCCGAGTGACCCATGGCATCAAAAAGCAGAGCCAATCCCCGAAAGACCTCTGCGGGCAAGTCGACTTCGACCCATTGCGTGGTCGGTGGTCGTGCCACTCCGCCAGATGGTGGGTCCTGGTCACTGGTACGGTGTGCAGAACTAGACGTGGGTTCTCCACAACCCACGTAGGACCCGTAGGACGCCATGTATCAAGTGGCCAAAAGGGTCATGGCCGCCATGTATCAGTTCTATGGATGCTGAAAAAACTGGATGCTTATATGTTGGGTCGGTCCGTTCTTACCTGTAGAGCCGTCGGGTTTCACAAGAACATCACCATTTTAGATAAATTCAGGCCTGCAACCTAACGATCATCCTCCACTGTTACTGGTAATAGGATAGACCCCACCAGATGCTTGTGTATGTTCATTTGCCCCGATCCCTAGGGCGCCCAGCAGATGGGGGCCCCCAACTGCTCACCGATGCAGGGCACCTTGGAGCAGATTAAAGCTCATCGAGAGCTCAAAAGACGAAAGGAGCTGCTCAAGGTCCGCGCGAGATCACCACCCCACCAGCTTGGCCCGATTCACAGACCGAGTTTGGCCATGGTGATTTGGCGCTGCCCTTCGCCACAACTGGAGGCTTCTTCTTTAACAGATCATTGGTCAAGAACTTGGTGTCAAGAAGCTGTTCATTCATGTTCCTTTTACCTCCCAGGAGTCCCCTAGTCTCCCTATTCTGACCCGTGCCAACCTTGCATGCCACTGCAGTTCCGGTGCTTTCTTCACCGGCAGGGAGCGAAGCAACCAAAGGAAGACAAAGACGAGGCACCGGACGTGCCTTCCGCGTCCACCGTGAGGGGCCCCTCCACAAGCTTCGGATGACGAGGCTTGGGCGGCAAATGGACCTCTTTTGGGTGGTCAAGGGACCCTCCTTAGACTCAAAGTAGACTTAAAGATAGACTGGAATCACTTCTGGAACTATTGGTTAGACCTTGGGGGTTGGAGTTTCTTCCGGACAACCTAATTACCTTTGTTATCGGCGAGACTTGATCATTCACCAATCTATTCGACTCTCAACAAAAGGATCAACCTCCATCCTCCACCACCGGACCGAGGATTCTTCTTATTGTCATAATGAACACATATCATTATATCATCTTCCATCATCTTCCACATACTCTCAACATTATTATCATTGTAGTTGTGTTTTTTTTCCTTTTCAAAGATGATCTTTGGAAGATGATGGAAGACACATCGAACGCTCGACAAGGCCAGATTCACCGGGGGCCAGAACCACTCTCCGCACACCGCGGAACGCACGTCCGCTTCCGTGCCGCTTCCGTGCACCGCGGAGCAGGACGTGGAGATCATGGACGAGAACTATACCGGTGAGTTGCCTCCTGTAAAAATGGAAGAGGAAGATGGAGAAGATGGAGAAGATGGAGAAGGTGGAGAAGGTGGAGGCGAGGTCAAATTTCGGTGTTGAAAAAGAGTCATTCGGTTTGATCCACTTGAAGTCCAAATTTGATCCATACTCCTTTGCTCGTGGTGGTGGATGAAGTGACTACCAGCTCAATGGGAAGCTCTGGATTGATGGGGCCAGTTGGGGACATACAATCCCTTCAAGACATACCAGCTCGAATTCCAATCATGCTCAATCACAGTATTTGGGGAAAAGCCGTGTCTGTTTGTTCAACACTTAGAAAGACGGCTCCCCAAGAGTGTGGTGTAATTGGCACTGTGCTCCCCTTGTTTTTTCGCTGAAAAGCGCTCCCGAAAGAACCACTTCCACTGTGTGTGGGTGTCTCTGTCTCTGTTTTTCTCTCTCTCTCTCTCTATATTCCTCTCCTCTCCTCAGTGACTCATCCATTTCCAATCCAAGTCCCTTTTGCTGGAGGTGCCTCCAGCAGTCGCCGGATCTTAGTGAAGTCCAAGCAACTCGCCTGGACGGTTGAGACAGTCATTTGGACTAAGTGGTCACTTCTTGAAAGACCCAATTTGGGTTTGCCAGAGGCTTTTGGACGACCTCCCATGAATGTTGTTTGGAACACATCGCGCCTGTGGCCTTCTGGCCTTCGCACATCGAAAGGTCCCGGTTCCGGTCCAAAAGGCTCCGGAACATCTGAAGCTCCTGATTTCGTAGGGTTTCGTTTTGCCGGTTCCTGCCACCCAACTGGGGTCTTCCATCAAGCTCCTCGATGCCACCCGCGGGAGCTCCTCATCCGGACGAGATCCTGAGGTATCCTGAGGACCCGATTGGGGGGGGGTTTTCTCCTCAGAGCCTCGAAGCAAGCGGCAGCGATGCACCTGCCGCGCGGTGCGGGCTCTTGGGACCTAGGACCCAAGAGGAGAATGAGTGGTTTGAGATCTCAAAATGGGAGAGTGCCAAGATGTTTGGTTGTCAGGGGAGAAGGGCTGTTCAATCTACATGCACTACTTGTACCGAGCAATCCCTCTTCTCATCTCTCCCCTCTGCCCCATTGACATGCCGTAGACCTGCTTTTTGTGTCTTTTTGTTATTTGATGATGTTAAAAACCTTTGATCTCATCTGTTCCATGTGTTTTCATGCTTTTCCTGTTTAAAGTCAATAGAGTAAGTGGCTTGGCAGTCTTGCGGGAGGGCTCTTGGAATCGCAAAAACAGGTTTGGACTACCCCAGCCAAACCAAGGGGGCCGTGATGCTGTTGAAGCAGAGGTGGATGATGAGAAAGTCATGTGAGCTATTTCTGATAACCTGTTCTCTTTATGGAGAGACCCACCAACTAATTGCTGTATATAGTTTTAGTTTGCTCCCTTTACAGTAAACTTGTGGGTCTCCATGAACCCATGGGGTGTGCCCACCCATGTTGCCACGTTGAAGGAAAGTGATGCAACTTGTCACCCCTGTCGATGTCGCACCTGTCGATGTCGCAGACCTGGGGATGTCGCACACCTCTTGTGTCTGTGCGGCTCCGCTTTCCTCAGCCTTTCCGGTTTAAACCATCAGTCTGGGGATGGAGGACGTGCTGGTGCGTGGGCACAGCCAGATCTGGGGCTCTTGGTTTACGCTGGAGGAGCAGCGCGCGGTAGCTCAGACGCGCAACGCGTGGGCAGTTCGGCAGGGTGTGGTTGATCTTGTGCATGCTCGCTGCACTCCGTGGAGAGACTGGGACTGAACTGATTCTCGGAGCAGAAAAAGGGGGTCGGGATCTCCCAAGCAAGATGGATGTTAGCGTTGAACATCCGCTAAACTGTTACTGTTATTTTTCACCTTCAACCCTCTTTATTTTTCAGAACTTCCATCGCATGGAGCTTGTGAGGCTGGGGCTTCGCGTGCTGTCACAGCACCGATGCTCAAGTACGTTGTCCTCAGAACCCCGAGGACTGCGAAGAGGATGCAAAAAGGCTGCCCCAAGCCATTCTTCTTCTTCTCCTTCTCCTTCTCCTTCTTCTTCTTCTTCTTCTGCTTCTGCTTCTGCTTCTTCTTCTTCTTCTTCTTCTTCTTCT